GTGGGATCGTGCATCACAGAGCACCAACGAACACACTGCAGTTACACCTGGTGGCCACGCCGTGGCGCTGTGGCATTCTTAGCACAGGCAAGCGGCAGGAACAAAATAAAGAACACAGACGAAGCTAAGCCGCGGCAACAGCAACAAAATTACATTTTTATAACACCGAGTCCTCCCAAATGGTGTCCTCCCACAGGAGTCCTCCCACATGAAGTAATAAAGATGAAATGTCTGTCTGTGGGTGAATCTACATTCCATATTGGATCCTTTGGTTGCAAGTGAAGCTGCAACGGGTACAGCTCGTTATTCAATGAGGTAGAAAACAAACCACTAAAGGCCTGTGAGTTCCAAAGAGTTTAATGGTAATGGTGGGGCAGATAGAGCAGCGGGATATGAAACAGGCGATTGTCACTGAGCAAAGGGAGCAGCCGGTCACTGTGGTTGAAGGAAATCGCAGAGGGAAGTGAGGAAAGTGCTTGAAAGAAGTTACTTAAGGGGACTTTACTACATTTCAAAGTGAAGTATCCGAAGTGTTTAGAAACGTTCTCCAGACGTGAAAGAAACTGCCAAATAGAACGAGTTTTATGTATTAATATGACTATATTCTGCCATCTCTGATTTACCAATCACAGCCACTTGAGGTGACCCAACAGCTGCTGTTGCTGTTGGTGTGAAGGGGAATAATGTATGAAAGGTCCGGCTGTGGGCCCCACGGTGTGAGAGCAGGAAGCTGCTCACTGACTGACTGCACACAATCACAGCTGCTTCCTGACAGTTGTGCTCTGAGTTTCTGCCCCACCTGAAGGCGGTGTGAATCATTCTGTGTGAAGCGTCTTTCAAGCAAGAAGACTTTAGATATAAAAAGCAGTAACTTGTTTAGCATTTTGCTCATGAGCTGTTCTGCAACATGAACTATTCCATCACATCCACAAACAATCATTTCCTGTAAACTCGAAGTCTTGAATAGCAAATAACAAAAATAAACCCCAAACAATATAGAAATATAAAGACAGAGAACTCTCCATCATTTCTATTGTTTGCTGAGTAAAGTCAGCGCCTCTTAATTACTGTGTATGTAAGAATACGACAAACGATGCAGAAAATGTGTTGACAAAGGCAACCGGGCAATAAGAAGTGATATCACAAGCTGAGTGTAAGAGGCACTGCATATTATTCTCTGGGTGATTAGGCTGTATATCTGTGCCACATTACACCAGCGATGCACTGCACAATATTAACTCCACTGTTCAGGTACTCCAACACTTGGTGCGGTTTTCACATTGAGACTGTGTGAACATAGGAATGAACAGCCTAATGAGGCCATAGACACAGTTATTTGGGCCGTTGGGAAGAGGGAAGAACTGATATTTAATAAGTCAGGACATGAAGGTACATGGAGACAAAGCTGAGAAATGGACTGAGAGAGAATTGCCACAGAAGCCATTGCGGCTCCAGCGGCCTTGGCCTTTCCCTAAATGTAACAGGAAACACTATTATCTACTGAGCGCGACAGACTCTCAATAAACCCAAAACACATTAATGCAGAAAAATACTTTGGCACTTCTTCCCTACACATCACCGAGAGACTGATCACCAAGATTGTCCTCAAATTCAGCAAATAAACACCTTGTTCTTTTCATGAAAATGTGTCTGGAATAACAACCATTAATAAATTGATTTTAAAAAGATAACTTTATTATATTTTACTTCACATTCCATCAAAGTCGGAGTATTTTGTGAAGTGGCCACACACGGAGCTGTTCTGTGTCCTGTTGTTTTTCAGCCGTTACAATGATTATTTCCCGACGTTTGAGATTTATGTTGTGCTCTGACAGGTTTGCTGTAAGATCGCAGCTCTTGTAGACCTTGTACAGGTTCCAGATCCAGTGCCCAAAGGAGAATTCAGGAATCAGTGGCTCCTCATGTCTCACTGCAGCCGATTGTTTCAGTTCAGGATTTCAATGTCAAACAGAAGCTTTTCACTGGGAATTATCTGTTGGTTTCTGATTGTATTGATCGGAATATCGGAGTCAGTGAATGTTATACCCTACAGCCTGTGCGCTTTGATCAGATCTAATGCTGGGACTTTCCTACTGATCAACGTTACTTGTGTGACTGTGCAATGGGCCACAGAGAATTACACACCAGAAAGGTGCAAACTCCTCAAACAACAAAGCACAAACACAGAGATTTACTCCCAGACCAGGTGGTGTGTTCATGTTGGGACTCTGAGATCACAACACTGACTGATATTCCCAGACATTAATCCAAGTCCACTCTCCCGGGTCAGGCGGCTTGGAATATCCTATGACAGTAATTGTATAAGGTAAAATATGTTTAGTTGTTTTACCAGCAATAATCCCGGAGATAATTGGAGCATCAGCAGAGTCCGGAGCACAACACACGGTGTCTGATGAGAATCCCTGTTACACTCTCGCTCGCAGTTACTGAAAGCTGCCGCGATACTGGAGCTGTGGCAAAGTGGCACTGAAACCATTTCTGATCGAAGCTTCATTTATTTCTTTCCAGTTTTCTTCACCTCTTGTCCTGAAAGAGTGTGATTGCTCTGACATTACACTGGGCTCCCATTCCACCAGCACTCGCCGGCTTCTCACCGAAGAGGACATTTCATGCCTGGTTTGAAATCATGAGCCATATATTCTGTGAAAGCTTTGAGACGTCTTGAAGATGTGAACAGGTGCTCTATCAAATACAAGGATTATTATTATATTATTATGTCTTGATGCCCACGTGGGACATGGAATCAGGATTGGAAGACAAGAATGGGACAATCATTTACAGGAGATCAGAACATGCAAAACAGGAAATAATGAATTTTGAATCTGGTACAATATTATTTTTTACCCCAAAAAACAAGTCACTACACATTATATCATTGTGTAAAGTGGCTTGAGATGTTTCAATGACATGATAAGGATTATGTCAAATGCAAGGATTATTAAATAATAATATCATATAAGAAATGAGAAAATCAGAATTACAGGATGAAAATAAAGTCCATCTGGTTCCCCCACCACCCTGGCAGTCGCATGCATGTCATGTCCTAAACATATATGTGTCGCACAATATTATTTGCAGAAAGTAACCTCTCATTTATTTTTACAAGAATCAACATTTTCAGCTTCTATCATCTCTCCCCCCTTTACAGTCGCTCACTGAAATAGTGTGAACGCAGATTTGTTTTGAATTTCCCGCCTCCTCCACACACACTGCAAACACACACACACTCAGAAACATTGAAGGAAGGAATTTGCGATGCTTCAGGGTCAGCGCGAGGGCTAATACTATTGAGACTTATATTAATATTAATTTGCTGTAAAGGCAGAATGTAAAGGTACAGTTATTGCTGTGTGCAGGTCAGAGGGAATGTGACACGTGACTCCCCTCAGTCCTGCAGCTATTGGTGGGTTCTCCACCCCCTGCCCCACTGCCCCGTTATATAGCGGTCACTGGGGACTGAGGCCATCTGTCCGGCAGCTCTTTGGCCCTCGGTTATTCGGCTCCAGTCTCAGTTCTGACAAGTGCCCAGAAACATGAGGTCCCTGATTTCTCTCAGTCTGCTGCTGGCTGTCTTCTCCCGTGAGTGCTATTATTCTGACAGTCTCACTCTTCCTGTGTCGGTCTTATTCTCTCTGCAATGTCACAGAGACGGGAGGTTTCACAGTCATTAATCTTCGGTCATTTATTCTTTACAGGTGTCCAGGCCGAGGTGGTGCTGACACAGCCGCCGTCTCTAACCGGGAAACCTGGCCATCCCCTGAGACTGACCTGTAAAACCAGTGGGTTTAATCTCAGCAGCTACTACATGAGCTGGGTCCGGCAGGTTCCCGGGAAGGGGCTGGAATGGCTCCTCATTATTACAGCTCATCCAACAATGGTTTCGCGCCTGGGATTGAAGACCGTGTCACTGTCATCAAAGAGAATTCCAATAACATCTTCGATTTGATCATCAAAAGCCCGAGAGTGGACGACACCGCCATCTATTACTGTGCGAGAGAGTCACAGTGAGAGGAAACGGGGCTGAACTCCTACAAATACACAAGGGGAGGAAAGGCGGCCCCTCCCACCCTAAACTGCCTGACAGTCATGGTGTCAATGCTGTGTCTGGAGCGAAGATTAAAGGAAAAGCTTCAAATGGATTTCTTCTCATGTTAAACCTACACAGTGAGTCGTGGTTTGATGGGGCGAATGATCTGCTTATTGGTGCTGTAATATTCTGGGATTTCAGTTGGTAAGTGACACTGTGCTGTTTGAGGCGGGAAGGACTGCGATTGGAGACTGGCGATGTGACGGTTCACAGATATCCTCTTGTTACAAACTGAGCTGTTGGAGAGATTTGTTTTCTGTTTCTGTGGCTATGAAGAAAGTATTAGATAGACTCGATGTCATGTCACAGGGGAATAGGCCATTTCAGTGAATTTTGGCAGCCAGTGTTGAGCAGACATTGAGGGCAGTATTTGTATGGGACTGTGTCACTGTGTATACAGTGGGTCACAATGCTGCACACAGCCATCTCCTCATACAAAAACCCGAGCCAGAGAGGCTGCTCACCCCTGTCATCACTGAAACATCCACAGCCTCCAAATAAATGTTACAGAGAGTGGATCCTTCTCATAAATGACCTGGTATTTAACAGATGAATTCAGAATGATTTAGATTACAGGACGGCATTAAACAAGACTGACGTCTGTGGAGCTGCTTTAACATTAATCCAAAGTCTCTAATAAACATAAGGATTTATTCTGACTGAAACATCACATGAAGCCTCACTGGTGAATCTGAGCTGAGGTCCAGTCAGTGTCTGATATTCCAGTCAATATTTGTTAGTTTATCCTGTGCAGGAGTTTGTGTCACAGTGTGTATCACTGTGATACTGGAGCCACAGCATTAACTGTCAATACAAAAACCCTTCAACACCAAACCAGCTCATGTCTCTCACTGTTCGCTTGTGTGGCCACTTAATGTGCAGGGATTTGGTATGTTTAAAATGCCGCCTTCCACTGAGGATTTTACCAGATTTTAATCGACATAAAACATAACATTTCATCTTCAATCTGTTGGTGACAAGAAAAGGTGTTTGACATGAACACAGCAAACTGGCAAAGACACAAACATTTAACAGGTCAACACAGAGCCGGGCAATAGTGTTCAGAACATTACAGAAATATATCGTGACCTGCATTTGGTTTGGGGGAGTCAACATTTACAATAATATTGTGTTGGTGTGTCCTGCCCGCACAGCAGGTTGTTGCAGTGGGCAGCCCACTGACTGGAGCACAGTGACTACCTCGACTACTGGGGACAAGGCACCATGATGACGGTGACTAATGGTAAGAAACACACACTTACTCACTCACAATGCTGACATTGTTTTATATGTTTGTTTGATTCACTTTAACAACTATTTGCTGTAATGAATTCCGCGTTGCCAGGCTATCTCGCAGTTTAATGTATGTTAAAGGGGTTTCCCTGATATCGCTTTCAACAGCCACTGTTGATTTATGGATTATTCTCTCAATGTTTAGTTCATTGTTGGTGATATTTTTGGTGGTTAGTGAATGTACAGCTGAGGTTACACTGACGGTCTTTGTGCAATGTCTGATCGCGGTGACTGGCGGTGGGTAGTTTTCGGGTATAATGTCGTCAGGAATAGTATGAAAGTGTTTGAATCTATGCCCACGTGTTGGGAATCAGGGCCGGAATGTTGTTGGATGAGCGATGGGAAGGTTATCTGATCGATTCCAATATGTATTTCAATCCTTTATTTAACATAAGGACCGCGGCTGCAGTTTAAAGTGTCTCAATCTGGGGGAGGGGGTGAGTCTGAGAGTAAAGTGGGTTTATACTGCTGGGATGTGATTGTAAACACAGCAGCTCAATCTGCACGGATGTTACAGCAATAATAGTGAAGGTTTTTATTTTAATTAATATCAGCATTAATGTGCTGCTCACAGTCTCGTTGCCTCAGTTGCCCCTCACACCAGTCATGGTTTAGTCAGCGAGAGTGAGAGCTCAGACTTGATTTCAATTGATTTGAACAGCAATCGAGTGAACATGACCGCACTTCCTCACAGTGCACAGACACAAGAGGTCGCTGCGGATCTATAATCATCAGCTTCCTGTTTTACACAAAATGATCTGCAGAAAAAAAATGTTAAATTTGTTGATTTTCAAAAAACAAATGGTAAACTCTGAATCACACACTGCAATGTAACAGATCCAGTTGTTTATGAGATGTTTAACACACAGCGACACTGGTCACTGACACCAAACTAATGATATCAGAACTGATCAGCTCCAACTCCAGAGTCGGTAGAGATGAGGGTGAAAGGAATGAGTTTGTCATTTGACTGTAAATACATGATTTAGTTATTCTGTGTAAATAACTGTTTGAGCTGCAGGGAATTGTGACTGTGAGTTACATTGCACAATGTACAATGCTTCACGTGTGATGTGGAAGGAGAGTGTGTGAAGCTGCTGTGCAGTTACTGAGAGCTTCAGCTGAGAGAGAGACAACATGGAGCGACCTGTGGCTTATTGGATGGAAAGAGTTTGTGTTTGAGATGTGAGGGTTCAGGCTGTGATGGTGTGTGAGACCTGATTAACCGGCATTGAGCAGTGTAATAGCAAATGGCTGAACCGGGATATCTCACTGTGTGGAGAGCGGCTGGGAGTCGGGTTCATGTTTAACCCTCAGATCGAGGGGTAGGAAAGAGCAATGTGAAGGTTTGTTTTCATCAATATCTTCCCAGAGGCCGAGAAATTCACTTCCTCTCAGTCTGTGAGGAGACCATTTGTGGTACAGTGTAAAATTGTGCAGAATTATGAATAGTTTCTTCAATTCAGTGTTATATTCCACAATATCAATATAAAAGTGCTTTGCTCCTTAGTCAATGCAGCGTCACTGACATCAAACCCCCGGACAGAGACCTCTGTCTTTATTCAACTATTTAAGAGCCGATGTGTAACACATACTCCAAAATATGCTGTAAACACCTGTGTCCCCATTCAGTGCAGGGCCAGCGGCTGCTGCAGGTTCCGCTGATCCCAATCACAAGTCAGACAGGATTCCCTGTGCGAGGCGTGTCCTGGGCACAGCACTGATTACACTCCTTCATTCCTCAGGTCAACCACTGAATCTGCCCATTATCAGTCAGGCTCTGCCAGTGTGAAGCGCTCTGAGACGCTGCCCTGCGTGGAGGGCGCTATATAAGTGCAAGTTGTTGTATTATTGGGTCTCTCTAGTTTTGTAGCTGAAAGAGTTAATATTGACCGTAATCCATCATTATTCAGACAATCAGGAATATACTATTTTAACCCCAACACAGTGGCTGTCAGGTGGGAAATTGTCTGTGGCAATTCTGTCACCAATCTGAACAGAATAAATTGTTTTAGTAAATGTCAGAACCAAAAAGTCTCAATGTTTAAATTTTCAGACGATTGTTATGACAATATAAGATTATCCGGAGGTTTGAATATTCTTGAAATAAATATTTATTGGCAAATTAAACAGAAGATTTGGAAATCAAAGCAACATTTTAATTAACATTTAATTAATTAAGCAACATTTTAATTTCAGCTGCTTTTCAAAAAGCCACAATAGACCCTACATTTTAAAGCCTTGTTGCTCGGAGAAAGAACTGTGAATATTTTAGTCTGAGAGGGTTTAGAATGACATTATAATCACAGGGACACTGTCTGACTCTCTGTGTTTCTAAACTTAAACTGGTCACGTGGTGACTTGAAGCTGCTTCGCAGACGATGCAGTCGAGGCTTTGCTGTGTAGATTAGCAGTTTCTCTCTCACACAGACAGTCACAGCTGAACAACATTATTGGGATCTGAAATTTAAACCGGATTTACATTTAAACAGCCAAATGTGTCACCTTGGAGCCAATTCAGCTCCTGCTCCCCGCCCCCCAGGAAGATAGTTCAGCTCTATCCGGAGATTCATTTTATCCTGAAACTGCGCCTCCATTTTTTTCTGGAAATACAAATTCAGACTAACATTGTTGTCAAGAATTCAGTAACAATTAGAGAAATTCCTGCTCCGACTGTCTCTTACAGAAAGCTCCGCCCACCACTCTCACCTCTCCTCTCAAACTCTGAGAGGATCATTATTCTATAAATAATAATAATAATAATCCCTGCATTTGACCAATTTATTATTGTTTTGTTTTTGAGGGATTATTATTAGGAGTGTGGAGTTAGGAAACTTGCCCGGTTTACACAGTTATTTGACACTAATTTTGTTCTGCACCATGTCCGGGTGTCTTTAACATTACCTTTCCTCTGCTGGAGAAACGCCGCCCTCCTAAAGATCATCAAGTGGATGACCAGTTGGGCAGGTGATACACATCGCACTAAACACAGTTTTTCTTACACAAAAACTGTGACAAAGATTACAAGTACATTACATAAGAACATAAGAATTAGGAGCAGGAGTAGGCCATTCGGCCCCTCGAGCTGCTCCGCCATTTGATAAGGTCACGGCTGATCTTCAGACCTAACTCTAATTACCTGCCCTATCCCCATATCCGCTAATCCCTCTATTTTTTTAAAAATCTCTCAGTCTCAGCCTTGAAGATGTTCATTAAGAATACTTTACTCCTTAAATGTCATCTGTGAAAGCCTTGTTCTCAGCCACGACTCCAGCCAGCACGCACACACAGGTACGCACACACAGGTACGCACACACAGGTACGCACACACTCACGCACACAAAAATAACATAATAATCATTGCTTTAGGTGCAGTGCCTATCACGGTGGTGAGACGTCTCAAAGCGCTTCATAGGATATAATGTAATGTGGATTGACTGTACTTTGTGGGAAAACACAGAAGCCGTTTGAGCAAAATAATGTCCCACCAACACACGTAGAGTGATTGGTCAATTTTATATAGGTGACTGTTGACCAGGACAACAGGAGAGAGAGAGGGAGAGAGATACTGACTTCTGTTTTTGAATAGTGCCATGAGATCTTTAACGTGGAATTGATGGCAGACGGGGCCTTGGTTTAACACCTCAATACGTTTATACACACACCACACACACACACACACTCAAACACACACACATACACACATATATACATACATGTATACATTATAATACTTGCATTTCATATTGTGCTTTTCAAATCTTTGAGACATCTAAAAGCGCTTCACAGTATAATGTAAAATGAATTGACTGTATATTTGTGGGATAAACACGGCAACCAATTGGGTACAGGAGTTTCCCACAAACAGTCGTGCATTGAAATAACCAATTTTATTTTAATTTTTTTCTTGAGGCATCATTATCAGGCGGGTGGGGTAAGGAAACGTTCCCAAGGTTTCACCCTGACGGAAACCGAACCCAAGTCTCTCGATTGTGAGGCGTGTGCTCTAACTACTGAGCCACAGGACTTCTACTCATACAGGAGACATAAACAGATACACACACACACACACATACAGACACATATCTATGTGCACGTATGAAGATACATAAATGCATATATACTGATATTGATTTGGGTCACAGGTTTATTTTAGTTTATCTGTGTGTCTGACCAAATTGCAGAAAAGCAGAACCTCAAATCTAACTTTCTTCTTGGTTTCCAGCTGTAACTACTCCTCCCAGTCTTTACGCCCTGCTGCCATACTGTGGACAATCCTCTTCTGGAGGCTCAGTGACTGTTGGGTGTCTGGCCTCCAGCTACAGCCCCGATCCCGCCATCTTCACCTGGAGATCAAATACAAATCCCATCACTGACCAAGTCGAGACTTATCCCTCAGTGCTCAACAAGAACGGTCTCTACACTCTGAGCAGCCAGTTAACAATCGCTGAATCCCAGCTGGGCAGCATCTATTGTAAGGTTGCACATAAAAGCAATACCTGGTCAGCCGTGGAAATCCTCGTGCCAGGTCAGTGTTGTTCGCCAACGTACAGGACAATCAAACATGTTGCTCCCATATCATTCAGTGTAGAACACTCAACATTGTAGGTGTGGGTATGTCACTTTTCTTCACCAGGTTATGTGAGCACTCCCATCACAGAGAATCTGCAATGTCCTGATGATGTTACCCTCATTTCCCAAGTGCTGCGTTACCCGGAGATAATGGGCACAAATGAACAGATAGAAAGGACTCCAACCAGTTCAGTTGGACCAGGGAAGATAGGGGAGCAGCCTGACAAGAAACAGACACAACACAAACTAGAGAGAGGGAAGGTGGGACTCTGAGAAGGAGAGCGAGCGAGCTTTGGAGAGCAAGGATTGAGCAATGCTCAACGATAGGCAACATGGCAGGGAAGAATAGAAGAGTTTTCAACTTTAAGCCCACTTTAGAGTCGAGTGCAATATATCAGATGGAATGATTGAGAACATTGCAATGTTTATCTTTGTAAAGATAGTTGGAAGATTGAAAGAGTTAAATCAATAAGAGAGGAGTTTCCAAACCGTGACTGAGATCAATGTTTATTTCAATATGAATATCAATTGCACCACAAAAAATATTTCAATCGAACAAAACATAACCTATTTTTCAATATCCTGCAGATCTCCCGTCACCGTTGCCCCCAGTTGTTATCCTCACACAGTTTTCCCCGGAGGACATCGCAATGCACAAACCGACCACTGCTATCTGCTTCATATACGGTTTCCGTCCGGACAGTCTCAGTGTTGAGTGGCTGAAGGACTGGCAGCCCATACACTCAGGTGTTGTGACCTCTCCCTCGGTTGAAAACAATGGGACATTCAGCACCAGCAGCCGTCTGACTGTCACCGCCAGAGAGGGGAAGAGCGACTCGGTTTACACCTGCAAGGTGACCCATCAGCCCTCCCACACCATCACTGTCAAGAACATCACCAAGTGCCCAGGTAGGAGGCACAGCACCAGCTGATACACACGCCAACAACAGGGCTCTCAGTTTCCTTGCAAATGTCCACTTGTGGGAGCTCTGGGGCACTTTGGGTTGAGCTCCTTTTGTATATTTCATTGGGATCAATGCACATGTGAGCCTTGAACCAAAGTTTATGGATGTGTACAACATGAGGAAATCGGTACCCGATCCTCACTGTGTTATCAGGAGATGGCCAGGCAGCCGCACTGTGTGGCTCTGTTTCTGATCTGCTGCTCAAGGGGAGATCTGCATCTCTCACAGGTCCACGTGACTGTGGCTGTAATTCCCATATTCCACCCTCTTCCTCCACGTCTACTTTCACTGAACTTCCTGATCACAAACAGTCAATTTGGTCACTCCGCGCAGATATGCAGTGAATCGCAGACTGCAGAGTTACAACTCATCCAATGTATATGTTTAATGCTGAATTGTTGTCAGTCGGAGGGAATTGGAAATCAATCGGCCAAATATCACGCAGTGTTTCAGAAAAGATTGTTCATCTTTCCATTAAATCATTTCAATACCAACTGATAATTCTGTTAGGAAACCGCGGTGTGTGTTCAGCTCACCCAGAACGTGAGAATATTCATGGACAGTATTGCTTAACTTCATCAAATATGAAATCCTGGATATTGGCTGTTCTTTGGGTTTCAAGTTTCTTTTCCTTTTCTAGATTGTCCGCCTGTTGAACCTGTCAAGGTCTCTTTCCTGCCGCCTTCACCGAAACAGGTTTTGATGGAACCCATTGTAACGCTGACATGTGTCGTGGCGAATGCACCACATGACGTCAACGTGACTTGGACACAAGAACAGACACATTTACAGTCTGGATATGGAAAACCATCTGCCACTGGGCCTCAGGAAGTGATCAGTAAACTAAACATTTCTACACAAGACTGGACCGGTGGAAAAGTATACTTCTGCATTGTCAGCCATGACGATATACCGACTCCCATCAGAAAAAAGATATTTAAGGAGCCCGGTGAGCATCCAAGTTCAGGATATAAACCATTTATTTGTTTATTGTAATTTCATAATATAGACAACAGATACAATTGTGAAAACAATTATAAATTGTCTGTTTCTGTTTTTAATTCTGTCGATAGATTTGTCACATCTAACAAATGCCGAAAAATATTTATTGATATAAACTGATAAGCAGATCCTCTGACATGAATAATATAAAAAATAACTTCATCATTACACCTGAGGATATTTTAACAGGTTTTCGTGGAGCAAAGGAAGCCACATCTAAGCCACTGAGCGCAAATCAAGTTAATCCCAAATTCTGTTGGGAGTTTTCAATCCACTCCAGTGTTCCCAGCCACACCAACAATTATAAACCACTGCGCACAGACTGAGCAGAGACACACTTTACTCTCAGCTTGTTCAGCGGTATCTTGTGCTTGAAGGCTTTCTCTGATTGACGGCATCAGTGTATTGATTTGATTTTATTGTTTCCACAGTTTTGTACACGAAACAACCTTCAGTGTATCTGCTTCTCCCATCGGCAGAAGAATTGTCTGCTCAGCAGTCTCTCACCCTCAGTTGCCTGGTGAAGAACTTCGCTCCCAAAGAGATCTTTGTGGAGTGGACTGTGAATGACCAATCGATTGATGCCGACAAATACAAGAACACTGAGGTGATGGCAGACAGTGCAGATGGCGATTACTCCATGTACAGCATGTTATCCATCTCAGCCGGAGATTGGGACAGAGGCTATTCCTACTCCTGTGTGGTCGGACATGAAACTTTCCCACTGAAGACCCTGACCAGAGCCGTTAATAAATCCAGCGGTAAACCGAGTTTTGTAAACATTTCCCTTGTCCTGATGGACACCGTGAATGCCTGTCAATGAGGCTCTCAATACCATTTTGCTTATTTTTTGTGCACCCGCCTCCCGACCATTGCATTGTCAATTTGGAGTCATGAAAAAGTAACTCAAATAAAGATCATTGTTGTATTTATGAGTCAGGTACAGAGGGGATGATTTCCAATTAATTGCACAGACAATTTTCAGAGTGAGGAATGATACACCTTTTGTTTGAAGTGATGATAGTATCAAGTTAGTAGAACAGTCAGTTTGGTTTGGATATTCTTAAGCACAGGGATGGATTTCCACTTGTTTTTGTTAAACTAAATACTGCTGAAGGACAGACACAGATCGCGGTACAGCAACATGTTCACAAATACACCCACTGAGCCATTCTCGTTGGTTGAAAAACAAACACTCATTCACATTCACATCCACACACACTCACACACACTGACATCCACCCACGTCCATATAGACACACAATCAATCTCATCCACTGAGGCCCCCACACACAACCAGACCGACCCAGGCCCACACACACTGACACACACTCACACAACACAGGCCCACACACACTCACACACACTCACACAACACAGAACCACAATCAACTCACACACACTCATACCCACCCAGACCGATACACATTGACAAACACCCACATCCATCTCGGCCCACCCAGGAGCACACACTCACACACACACATCCACCCGGTCCATGCGCACTCACGTACACTCACACAAAACTGCATTGCTGTGACACTTCACCAAGTAGGACACCCACACTGTCAGGAAACTGGCTTCTCCCCTTTTATGCATTGCTGTAACAAATACATCTCAATGTCACCATTTTCCTTGAGGTGAATCTGCAGGTTTTTGAGAATATGATACCTGTTTTTGTTCTCTAAGATAGGAAACATCACCTTGACAGTGAGTGTCAGTGTCTGATCCCTTCCCCAATCAGTCTCACATGGCCACATGCAGCAAAGGTGGTAATCAATAAAGCTCAGGGATGAACCGTTACACTTAACCCTCAATCCCTTCAGCTGATGTAACCTGACGTTTGTGTCGGTTCCTCTATTGCTTTACAGCAATATTAACCATTTTGAAATAGGCACAGTGCCATTGATAAAAATATTGATGATGACATAATATGGTAAAGGACACAGTCAGGAATAACATGGGGAATGGCATAAAGTTACAGAGCGTTCGGCTGAGTTGGCAGAAAGGTGGAAATGAAGTTCAATATTGACACAGCAGTTTTTTGAAAGTATATTCAGGAAAAATAATCACTAAACGTATTACAGAAAAATAATTCTAATATAAGTGGAATGAAGAAAACTTGGAGTATAAATCGATGGGATTCAATATCAAAAGACCATAAAAATGGATTCAGTGTTTTTCAGAGCAGAAATTGATTGCCAATTCTATATAAAGTTCGCAGGATTGTGGGTGGGGCACTGCGCGCAGTTCTGGACACTGTTATACAAAGGACATAAGAGCCACTGAGTGGGTTTAGGGAAGTTTCACAAAGATCACACGGATGATCTCTGTGATTGGCGTTACAGTGATGAGGATTAGCTTCAAACACTGTGGCTGTTCTCATAAAAAGCGAAAGGAAAAAAAAGGGAAGTCTCTAAATACACGTTTTCAAATGTATGAAGATTTTGAAAGACTGAATTAGTGAAAGACAATTGTATCCATACAACAGTATAAAACACCCAAGAATGTCACTGAAAAATATAAAGGCAGATTTATTTGGAGATATACAGTATTTATTTAGAGATACACAGTACTTCTACTGCCAGTAATCCTTCCATTTGATATCGCAGCTTATTACATCACACGCCTAATAATAATCCCTCCAAAACAAAAAACAATAATAAATTGGTCATTTTCAATCTACGACTGTTTGTGGGACATTGCTGTGGCAATTAGCTGCCGGGTTCGCCCACAAATATACAGTCAATTCACTTTACAGTGTGTTCTGTGAAGCGCTTTGGGACGTCCTCCCGACGTGAAAAGCGCTATATCAAATGCAATAATTATTATTATTATTATCTCCGAGATGCCTCGAAGCGCTTCATAGAATGTACTTTAAGTGAATTAATTGTGTATTTTGTGGACTTAATGCGGCATCCAACTGCGCACAGCAGATCTTTTAGAATATAGGATTGTTGATCACAATACCGTAATGTAAAGGAATTTGAATTTTTTTTGAATAGTCACAGTGTGAACATGGAAAAGAATAGCAGAAAGGTGGAATTGGAGCATTGGAGTAGATTTGGCCATTTTCTACCAGAAGACTCTCAATGGGAGGAATTCCACTTTTTATAATTACACAACTTTAATTTTCTCGATGTGTTTCCAAAATTCTTCTCTGGATTCAATATTTTTGGGAAGAAATAAACAAACAATAAAATCAATTACTTTTACATCTCTCTGAAAATTAAAAGTTTTGAAGGTTTGGCAGGAGGTTCTGTGTAGTTCAGTAGAGGGAGGGAGCCCACGATCAACTGGGAAACTTTATATACATTAATAATCAAAAGAGAAAAGAAAAGTCTCAGGTTTCAATCCCCTCTGAATATATTTCTTCATTTTCATCCTCACAGAGGTGATCCCAACCGAGACGATGCTGGAAGGTTTTCAACAAGATGAACATGACAACCTCTGGCCGACAGCTTCCACCTTCATCATCCTCTTCTTCCTGAGTATTTTCTACAGTGCCACGGTCACTCTATTTAAGGTGGGGAGAGGAAATTCATTGACACTATGATCTGATGTAACAGCTGCCGGTAAATAATTCTTCCACGGGAACTGATGGTGAAGCTCATTGCAGCCACTGTGCTGGGAAACACCCCCTGTCCCCACAGGACAGGATCCGTGTGACCAAGCTGTGTGAGGGTGATGGACATATCCTCTCACCATTACACACCCTATCACACCTGACATATGCTCACCTGGTATAGCCACAGGCAAGGAGCGAGGCTCATTTACTGATCTTGTGGATCTTTCAGTATATTGTGGACACTTGAAAGCGAAGGGCTTCTGCCTGTATAAGGCAATGACAGACCAATACCCACTGACACAGTATCAGTTGGGATTGTGTGTGTTTGTGGGTGGTGGGGGGGGATGTGTGGACATTCATATACACAAATAAACACAATCTGGAATACTAAATCTCCTCCCAGGCTGAAATTATTCATCATATCTTTACTTTTATTTTCCAGGTAAAATGAGTTTATTACCATCAGCTTCACCGATGTTCCTCATCTGTTTGTGTTTATCTTCAATTTCCTGTGACAGAGTATGTGATGTCTTGTTTCACCCAATGAACCATTCATGGGAAGTCAACATTGTATTGTGCAACTACATGAATTTTAGTGACTTTTCTTATTGTTAGTCTATGTTACAATGTGCCTTTTGTTAATAATACATAATGTTGTTATTTCATGTACTGAGCGCCTCTCTGATATTCTTTATTTGCTGTTTACTGATTGTGTGGTGTAATGATACAGAAAGACAGAGGCTGTTATATTTTGTCCTTTTATTTCATTCTGAAGATGTGTATTTGTGATCCGGTCCTATTCCATAATGCCTACAGATTCTCTCTATTTGTTTGCCCGAAGTATCAATAAATGATAAAAGTTAGTGAGCTGTTTGATCTGTGTCTTTCCTGTTCCCTTTGTGTCAATGCCGCCTTGACTTCTGATTTCCAAATTGTTCAGATTCACAGAAGCTCAGCATTAAACAAAAGCTGTTGAATGAACTGTCCGACTTCAGTTCGGGTTTTGCTGGAACAATTCATGGGCGACAATCTTTGTACTTGAATTGCTTCTCCGCTCCAGTGACCAGCAGCTGCTTCCATCCCCCAATGATCAGCCCCACACCCAGATACAGCTTCAGACACATGGCTATTCTAATATAGTAACACGCAGCTCTGTGTTATAGTATTTATAGCACAATGTGAGTGTGCAATGTGTTTGATATATGCAGAGAGCTTCATCTCCTGCCTGTGCTGAGCTGACAATCTGAGCAGCACCACAGTGGGAGGCCATGAAGCCCAAATCCCAGCTGTGGGCAGTTGGGCTGCTGTGTTGGCCCAGACTCCTCTTCACAGTTTAAACTGTGAAAGGCTTTGGGACGTCTTGCTGACGTGGCAGCAAACAACATGTGCAACCACTTGAGACAGAGGTTTTTGGCTCAAATCCACATCGGCATTTGACAATAATGGAGTTGATGTTTGTGAAATACACTCCAATGCTCTGCTCAGGTTGTCCTGTGTTTTTATGGGTTTGGTTCTTCGGTCCTTTTCCCTTCTTAGTAAACTCTTGAAATGCTTTGACTCATCTCCTTGATGTGAAAAGCTCCATAACAAACCTCAGGATTACTACTGAGATGGTCGACTTTCAGCAAACAGAAAATCAATAAGTACATCTTTCGTATGTTAGTTTCAACATTAGAGAGACAGACAGACACGTGCAATAATCCGTTTGCCGTTTCACCTATTTCAATATTTTAAAGAAAATGAACAGATCCAGAATTAATATTGTCGCCATTCCACAGAAACTCCCTGCACAGAAGCACATATTTTGCGTCCATTGTCGGCTGTTATTTTTTCTAAAATTAATATTTACATCTCTCGAATAGTAAGCATTTCCCCGCTCTCCGCCATATACCCTTTTAACCCAGTTCACAGCCAATTCTATTGAGGTATATGGAACCCTGCACCCGAAGCAGGTGCTTAGTGGGGAAATGTTGTGTAACATTTACCTTTACAATTCTGCTAAGACCAAAGATCAAGCCTTGATTTATATTGCATTCAGTATTTTTAAGCATTTTTTATCCTTAGTTACATCCGCTTTTAATCTGAGCTGATCTGCAACAGATCAGTTTGAACATATGAACATAAGAATTGTTAGTCGAAAGAAGATTATGGTCTGTCCAGTTTGCCTTCCACCATCCTGGCAGTCACATGCACATGTCAGGTCTCACACTATATACTGTATCCCACAATATTATTTCCTAAAATACATCCATCTAATTTGCTTTTGAAAGAATCAACAGGTTATGTTTCAACCATCTCCCGAGGGAGTCTGTTCCATACGTTTACTGCTCGCTCACTGAAATAGTATTTACGCAGATTTGTTTTGAATTTCAAATGCAGGCCATGTCCTGTGTTTAGCCGACACTCTGTACATGTATTTTGCTTCCTACCGTTACCCTCCCTGAGAATCAGCACAACAGGGAAGGAATTTCGCTTGTGTCACTCTTTACTGTTTAATGCAGAATTTTACTGTGTCCAGAACTTGGCAAATTGTAAAATACAGCCGTAAATTTAAAGTACATTTTGCATAAATTTCTTGCATCAACTGCAGCAAACTGGTGACAAGAACAACAAATTACATTGGTAAAGCGTCTTTCATACTGGGAGGACGTCCCAAAGCTCTGAATCACGATAGAGTTTGTACTGATTCCAAAAATTTTTAATTTTAAAACGTTCTGATATTTTTAAAATAATATTCTTTGCATTCAATATAACTCCTTATCACTTCTTTGCTACATTCCCCAAGAAGATCATGTTCCTTGATGAACATTTAAGAGGATTTATTGTGTATACAAATTCATACATATTTATCACACTGAGCCCAACCTTTGAAATTCCAACCCCAATCACTCCGCCTCTCCCCTTCCTTAGCCTCCTTCATGACCCGCCTCAAAACCCTCCTCATCGGTCACCCCCCTTCCCCTCCCTTCCCGTCTCCCCCCCCCCCCGACCCCAGCTCGGGTTTGAAATGCTGTACACTGTCCAGCGCCTTGGAACGTACTCCAGACATGAAAGGCGCTATACAAATGTAATCTGTTATTGCTGTTGTTGTTGATGTATGTGCGTCTGTGTGTATGTGAGAGAGGGGTCGGTTGAGGAAGAATTTGCACAGGAGACAAAACTCTGTTTAGGGAACAGTTTAACTACAACTGTTCTTCAGGAAACCCTTAGTGTCTGGAATGGAATGTGTTAATCTCTTCCAGGAGGAGCAGACCTATCCAACCTAATTCAGGTGCATTTCAGACGCTGGTTCGTTAGGCTTTGGAAGTGTAACTGCTGGGGTTTAATAAGTTAAATTTGAAATCTTGCGATTGCACGCACTGTCTGGCAAGTTTCCTGCGACTTGACCAGTTAGAATTATCCTCTGTGTTAGTGCTTTGACCTGCAGGGTTAACAGGACTTAAATGGGATGAATCTCCAATGCCCACTGTGACTGCTTTGCCCACTGGTCCTGCCAATCGGGCAGGCAGACAGGCTGGTTTGCCAACAGCAGGACCTGGATTACATCCTAACCCACGTGGCTCAGGAACCCGATTATCGAGGATTGCCGCAGAGGATTGACTCAGTTCCACATTTTGTTGCCAACCGTTCCACCGAGGAGTGAATTCATTTCCAATGAGAAACCTAAACCCCCAACACTCCCCCATCCCCTTCCCACCACAACACACACACACCGCCCCTGTACTCCATATGGATAGTCAAATTAAAGTACAAATCACAATTGATAACTTGGAGAAAAAAATTAATTTAAATTAACCCTTTTACTGAAACCTGCTGCCCCAGGTCAAACAACACTTACAAGAAATCATTGACATTGGCACGTGATGATCTGAGAAAGAGTCAGTTTCTTATCTGCAGGAAACACCTGCACTTTCTGACACTAAATTAGAGCGATTTCCTCCTAATGTAAAACTGACCTGAAAGCCATCTGCTAGAAACTGGTTCAAAATGTTCCACCGAACAACACAGAGCGTCCTCCACACATGGCTTCTGTCTGTGGAAATAAAATAATTGTCAAATTAAAGTCTCAGATATTGTTCTGCAGAGGTTACAAAAACTGTTAATCGGCATTTGTAACTATTGGGGAATACTTCACACTACAGCATTAATATTATCCGGCAACAAACCAATGACAAACACCAGATAAACATGTTACAGAGCTTAAAACTTCTTGGTTTCTCGGTTATTTCATGTTTCTGTAACTATAATCCCTCCACCCAAACTGTATATCACAAAAATAAAACAAATATTGGAAACCTATAACATGTAAATTAGCATCAGAGGGAATAACAATTTGCAGTTGTTATTATGGCCGCCTTATTACAATCTAACAGCAATATGAGGAACACGTGTGATGGCAGAACAGAAACCTTTTTTATTGAGTATAATTGATCTTTGGAAATGTATTTTAGAGACTGTGACTGTGAAACCAAAACTATTCAGGAAATAAAGCAGCTTTTGTGTCTAAGTGTTTATATAAAGTGTTTGGAAACAAGTAAATTGTTTGTATTGTGTCTGAGCGCTGAACTATGTGTATTAACTCGGCTCAGTTGGCAGCACTCTCGCCTGTCAGTCAGAAGGCCGTGGGTTCAAGCCCTGTGTCTGTGTGTGGAGCTCAGGAACTCTCGGCATTGCAGTGCAGGGGCTGAGCTGTATTGGAGGAGATTTGGTCGTCTGTTTCTGTGGATGTTATCGAACACATTCCTCTGATTGGAAAAAAAAGGACATTTCTCAAATGGGGATTGTTGGCCAGGATACAGGGAGACACTCCCTTCTCGTGTCGAATAGTGCCCTGGGATCTTTAACATCGACCTGAACAGACAGACAAACCTCCGTTTAATGTCTCATCTCAAGGATTGCACCCCTCACAACGCAGCACTGTATGAGATTAAAATGCCGATGTGGGTCCTGTACACACAACCTTTGAATCAGAGGCAAAAGTGCTGCCATGTGCTGCAAAATACAGGCACTAAACTCTGCTGTAAATCATGTGCAGTGATGAAAATATTCTCCTGAAATGAAAGGCGCTGTATCAAATGTAAAGATTATTATATTGTCTGTGTATTACAGGTGTTAACACATAACATTTATAACCTTCACCGGTGAAACAACATCTGAGAGAACAATAATTGAGAGTGTCCATTTTCCCCTCAATCAGAGAACCGAAGAAGTTTACAACATAGAAAAGGTAACTTGGTCTATTCTGTGTCTGTTGGTTCTTTTAATTGCAAACCTTTGTATCCCGTTCACTCGCTCTGTTCATATACACCAATAGTTGACTCCAGTTTAGCTTTGTTTCTGGCTCTTTTCAAAACTAATGTGGATTTTTATCACAACACCTGAGCCGGTCAGCCCACTCCATATCCAAACCACTCTGTGCAATAAAAATAAACTAACATTGCCATTTGCTCATTTGCTAACTATCTTAAATTCATATCCTTCAGTCACCCATTTACCGAACAGTAGCAATACATTCTCTATATCAGCTCTGTCAATAATTCAGATAATTTAAAGCCCTCTCTATCAGGCCATCTCTCAGCCATTTTTGATTAGATTTCCACCATTAATGTGGAGTCATTGTGGAGTCCTGTATCTCAGTGTTTAGAGTACCAGCCTCACAAGCAGGAGACCTGGGTCCGATTACTGACAGAGCAAAAAATGTGGGCAAGTTTCCTTGCTCCACACGTGAGATAATAATACCTGAAGAAAAATAAATAACAATAAAGGTAATTTCAATCCACGACTATTGTGGGACACTGCTGTGTGCAATTGGCTGCCGAGTTTCGCCCACAAATATTCAATCAATTCACTTTACAGTATATTT